CCAATGCCAACATGGTAGACGCCGAAATTTCACCTAAAACAATTCTATTAAAGTATTCCATAAAAAGAAATTGCCGTATGAACTCTAAACCGAAGCCTTACTCCATAATTCACTCTTTACCCTCTCAATTTCAGCGAACAATGCATTTTCTTATGCCTCCTTTTTTTGCTCGTCCACTTCTCCTACCCAGCTTTAATATCCTAGACCAAAAAATACCCTCGCCCCACCATGGATTCACCATTCTGGTCACATACCCGTCAAAAATAAGTCAAATAACCCCCATATAACAAGTTGTGATAATATTATACTCGGGGGAAGTGCACGCGCCTCCCCCATTTCCCACATCAATCTACCCGTGCCCATATCCACCTTGCCACACACAACTATTCATCAGCTTGACCTGCATATTCTACAACGAAAGTGTCCCCATTTTCTATCGTATATATAATTTTTGTGCGATTTGGTGAATGAAGCTTCTAACAACTATAGAATACAGCTAAAAATTGTCCACACCATTCACGGCCTTTCAGAGCGCGCACGGGAGGGGTGGTCGGGGCGTGGTGTAGTGGTCTAAGGCGGCGGTTCAGCCCCGAGACAGGGGACGCGGGTTCGGTTCCCGGGTTCGCAGGCCTCCGCATTTTCGTTTTGCTTTTTTGTGGAAAATGTTCCTAGCGGAATGTCATGACTCTAGACGAATCAAGAAGCATGCTATCACTTTCTTTCGCGCAGAATGGATGAAGAAAAACAGCGGACTCATGCATATACCCAAATCGATCGCTGTTAAAATCATAACGCTACGACATTCTAAAACCGGTGGTGGCAGATAGAGCGAAGTCGGTTCTGTGTTCCTAGCTTTCAAGCAGATTGCAGAACAGCCAGTAAAAAGTATTATAGTCAATTGAAAATTTTAACTAACTCTCTATTGAAGCCTGATGTAGATGTCAAGGTGATGCGATTTTGCACCTTATTGAATAGTTGCTAGTCTATAGTTTATTAACAAAAAAATGCCATCGAGGCGCTATGGACAAACATTTAGCTTCCCTATGATACCCGTTGTCTTAGGTACCTCATTTTTTCAACTTCAAACCGACCGGGCGCCCGATTGCCGTGTACGATTTTCAGGAAACATGGACCAAAAGATAGAGAAGAAGCTGTTCTATTTTTCTGTACACTCAAGTAGATTATGAAATCTTCTCAGAAAAAAGTTATAGCCAGTTGAAAGTGGAAAAGATAGCACCCCTTAGCTTAACAATGCATTACGCGAGGGGTATTGGAGTGCCCCGTAGCCTAGCCCCCTCGCCCCCTCTCGTGCGCGTTTTTATTAAAGGATGAATCGTAGTGCATTCAACAGCTCGAAGATTCGGGCTGTCGCTAAAATAAGACGAGGCCCACCCAGTGGCAGCCGTCCGCTTCCAAATTGACCTCCACGAGAGATAGGTGCATTTGCATATGGGTGTGCCGTGGAGCATCTTTTTGACGCCTCGTCGAGACAGATAGACAGAATGGGAATTTGATGAGCAGAGGGCCAAGCAGCTTGTCCCTCGGGGCCCCTTCGAGTCCGAGCAAAGTAAAAAACCGGCGAGCAAGGACTGTTTTAGGGGTGTCACTTTGTGACAAGCGCAATGGCCATGGCGTTTAAGGAAATGGTACAGAAACGCATCGAAAATAATCTGATCATGTCCTTCCTCGTTCTCTTTTCCTCTAATCCTTCCTCAGCCGCTACGGCAATGCGCACAAAAAGGTGCCGAAATTTGCGCAAAGGATCGTCGCCCACCCTCCAGCTGCCACCGGTCATTTGGAACAAGCGCCGCACGATCAAAGGGCCACCCTCTCACTTTGCATATCCCGCACATCATTCACCAACACTTTTTTCCCTGGGCCAGGGTGAACCCATTTTCAAGCGGGCCCCATGCTCCTCTCCCCAATCTGCCTACCTCTTCAACCCAGATAGCAGCTTGCATAATAAAAGCCCTAGAAGGATGCATCATAAAAGCTCTATAGATGCTACCACCGTCAGCCAACCCTTCATAGCGTCTGTGCGCGGCTTTTTGACCCTAATCCTCGGTCATTACAGGATGCGTGAACGGGCCCAATATTGTGATTAGCGGGAATGCTCGGGCCTTACGTCAATGAGGGGGACCCCACTTATCCCGCTAAGGGCAGCTGGCGGTTCGACCCGCGCCCCACAGCACCTGGATTTCTTAGCTAGGGGTGCCACAAATAACCGTAACCTCGACCCCGAACTCCTCAGCAGCAGTGGAAGGACAATAATTACGCTGTTGTAGATCAGCGACGTGCGAGGCGTTCGCAGGTCTAGGGCTGCACTTTTGCCGATGCCTTCAAACTAGTTCAGACGACCGCCCAGGTCTCGAAATATTCTTTGTGCTTGCCGTAAATCAATTACCACGCTCATAAGAGTGCGAATTTTTTATCACAAAAAACGCGCACCAAGCGCAACAACATAACAAACATGGGGAAGGGGCAGTGCAAAAACTGGGGTGCAGGGCATGGAACGTAACAACATGACAAACTTGGAAGGGTCAGTGGGTACGGGGGACAAAAGAAGTTAGCGTTAACAAACTATTTACAACGCCTATTAGTGCTAATGCGGCGAGCCTGGTTACGGCGGTACTCCTCGATGAATGGGCAGTGCGACACAGTATGTGCACGGATGCCGGTGGCGCCGCAGGCGAAGCATTCCATGCGGTAGAGGACAGGACAACTATAAAACAAAATAATAAATCCTAGCGAATACACCCACGTTATCAGGCCGCGGATGTCGCGTAGCTTGTGCCCGCGCCAGGGTCCATCGGATTCGCGAAAGAAGTCGACATTGCCCCGCTTGATCGCTTCGCTTTGGGCCTAACACACCATAAAGCAAGACGCCAAATAGTTACCTTCCCATAACAGAAGTGGCACGTGTGGTCGCGGTTCAACGTTCCGTCGACGGCGGGAACCAATTCCTTCTTCGACAAGATCGTCTCCCAGAAGACGCTTGCAGCGGCCTTCTTCTGTGCGATGTTTTCCTTCTTAGTGTACTGGAAAAACATACAAAACACTTTAAAAATTCATACCGGGGTGAAGCGATAAACTTCTGTGTCGATTAGTGCCGGAATGATGATGGTCGGGACGCGTGGATGGATCCATAGAGTGCGGATCTCCGGCTGCATAGGAGCCATCTGTAATGTTTTTAAAGCGAACGGGGACTGTAAGGTTACCTTGTCTTGTTGGAGCCGCTGCTCTTTGAAGATCGCAGCGAAGCGACTCATCCTACCTGGAATCAAAAGTGTTAGAAAAATAATCGAAAAATTCAAAAAGCAGTTACAGAAACAAAATGAGAAAGTTGACTAGCCAGAAATAAAAATTTGACCGTAGGAAAAATCGGCTGAAGATGAATAGCTCCGGGACCCATTTTCTACCGTGAAGAAAGAACAACACGGGGCTCCTATGTTCAGTTTTGTCATTAGGTGCATCGCGTTATTCAGCTTTTAAATCTTCGTGTTCGGGCTACCCTTTCCGCTCCCTCCCCCCTTCCTGACGGCTTTAGATACTTTAAAGGACTTAAATAATTAATTAAAATAATTAAAAACTATTAAAACAACTGAAAAAAGCGATCTGGGCGCGGGAAAAGGGCTGGGGAAATGGGGCGTGGCCTGCCGGGAGAGAGCCTCCCCCACTCATTTTATTAAGACGCCACTTTCAAAGTTAATTATTTTTATTTAAACAAAAACATGAATACCGTTTTTAGACGCGTTGCTGCGACAAACCAGCTGATCCAAGTCCTGAATTTGCAGCGCGCTTGGAACTTTGCACGCGCTGTTCCCTTCCTCCTCTCGTTCCGAAGGTGCATGGCCACGAAGGTTCATCAACGACCTTGCATCGAAGCACTCGTTCAAGTAATTCCATGGCGTTGTGTTAAAATTTTTTTTGTAGATTATCGATCTGTTCGAGGGGCAACTTGCTGTCGAAGCCACTGGAGCTAAGAAGAAATCAATCGAGGTACCGGTAGATCTACGCTTCATACTCTTATTTTTAGGGTCTGAGAGAGGTCGCAATAAACGCCGAATTCATGAGAGAAAAGATGCCATTTCCCGAACGTGTTCACTTGGCGGATGGCCGATCCTGTAGGCCTTTCGCACTTTTTCTGTTTCACGTAGTTATGCGCCCTCTAGGACAATTCTATAAGGACATGCTTGCGATCTTTATCAAAATAACTTCCAGAACTTGGACGACGAGGGTCTCCGACCTTTACTTGCAGTCGGCCGGGGTTCCTCCGGGGGGGGAGGGGGGAGCCACGCCCCTTCGCCCCCTTGTATTGTCCTTCTTGCTATACTCTAGGACCTATGTGGCCCTAAATTTGGTTGCGTCCTGGGCAGGATTTGCGCTTTGGCATCGACGTCCTGGCCCCAGGCGCCCCCTTTCTCCTGTGCCTTTGTTGGCGGCTGTATTTTCCTGCTTTTCGGGGGGCCCCCCGCCGCGCCGCCTGCCCGCCCCGCCCCCCGTGCGCGGGTGGCCTGAAATCGACAATACCTACCACGATCTCGAGCAGACGCGCGGCGGCCAGGATGGATCGGCATTTCAGCGAGACGAGCCGAAAATCGACGGACAGCGCCCCTCCCTCGCCACGTCTCCCACGGTGGAATTGTGTTTTCTCGTGCGGATGCGCGCCATGGACTGATGGCGCCGTTGCCCGGCAAAATTTAAGGCAAAAAGTTTATTATCAGGACACAAACAAAAACTAGATCAGGCATTGTCAAAGCTCTGCACATCAATGGGAAAAGTCACGCCCGGGACATACACGTTTCTGAAGTTTGGGCAGAGCGGATGGAGAAATGGAACTGAAACAACGCGGATAAGAGGACCAGAAATAACAAGAGACGGGGCTTCTTCGAATTGCTAATCAAAATCAAAAGCATAGAAATCAGATACGGGGAAATGGGGGCTTATATGATGACATTGTTCTTCTTGTTTTTCCTTGATTCGTCGTGTCGATTGCCCTACGCCGCGCTGTCCGGCTCTACGCTTTTCTAAACAATCCGACAGATTATCGCAAATTAGAAATCGGTTTACCTGGAAGATCTTCTCGATTTGTGCCTGCTGCTGTTCATCGGAAACGGGGGCGGCTGTCCGCGTTGATTGTGGTTTGTCCTGAAAAAGAACAATTAAATTGGCCATTAAATTCGAGAAATCGGCCGATCCGCGGGAATAATTTTAGCGCGACGAGCACCACCCTCAACATTCAGCCGTCCAGCACGCTTTTTTGCGCGTTTCCGCGCGGCAGCTATAGAGGTGCGCGCGATTTCTGTGAAGGTGCCGGTGGAGCGGAAAAATTAACGCAGGACGGCAAAATGCGGATCCCGCGCCTCGTTTTTTTTATTGGAAAAAGGGAATAAGGTTAATAATACCTTTAGCAGATTTGAGAAGAAGCTGGCCAACGGAGAATCGGAAGCCGTTGTCCCGGCATCATCAACGTTCTTTTGCCCATTCGTCGCCGAGTCCTTGGCCAACATGTCGGCGAATCGTGTGAGGAACGCCTGAAAAAAAAAGACTGTAAAATCCCAGAAATGAAAATGAACAAACCTGCGTGTCCTCGGCGATCACCTCGGGCTCCTTGGCGACGTTCACCTTCTCACGATTCGGCTCGAGCACGTCGATCTCGGTGATGTTCGACTGGAAATGGGAAAATGCCATTAAAGCTTACACAGAATAACACTTACCCTAACTATCTCGATCTTCTTTTCGCTATCCCAGCCGGCCGGCACGAAGATTGTATCCCGATCGATCATCTGGGCTGAAGTGGTGAAGGGAAGACCATAGGCACGGTGCACGATGTACTAAATCAAAGTTAGCCGTCGACACAACATAATTTTCCTGGGAAATCGATTTCTAAAAAAGACAGTTGGCTCATTGGCATTTTCGGGGGAAACAAAAACCTTTTGTAAAACTCCAGAAATGCCTAGCAACCTAATAGGAAGTATTTTAATAGGTTTTGAGTAAAATAACCCGATCTTGCGAAAGAACCACTTTTTGGCAGGATTTTGATGAAATAAAAGGTCTCAATCTCAAATTTCCTCAAACGCCCTCAATGGTCGAAAAGTGCCTAGACTAGAAATTTTTCGTCGATCAAAAGAGAATTCCGTTTTTTTAAAATCGAGATTTACCTTGGCGAGCAGCTGCGTATTCTTCGGATTCTTGGTCGTCGTGTAGACGAGCGCGGCCCCATATTGAAGGCAGAAGCGCCGCACGTCGCACAACACCTTGTCCATCGCCTGCTCGCTCCTCTCATTCACCAGGTCGGCCTTCGTCACGACGACGATCATCGACACGCCGTAGTTCTCCGTGAGGACGCCTTGCTCGAGAGGGAGAAGACCTGCAAAATTCCTTCAAAAAACGCCAAAAATTTGTGAAAACATTTGAAATGCCATATATGGGTCATTCGCATTATCGGGCAGATTATAACCTTTTTTCCTAGAAGTCCAGAAACGCCTATTTCCGTCATAATAAGTCTTTTAACAGTGTTTTTAGCAAAATGTCAACATATTTTAGGCGGAAATCAATAAAAAACCAAGAAAATCTCGGTGAGAATCGGAAATCAGCCAGTTTTACCGAAAAATCGTTAATTTTTGAGACCAAATTGCAGTTTTTACGTTTAGGAATGGTAAAAACAGTTTAGAAACGTCGGAACTGTTGTGCTTGAAAAGAATCCACCCATATTTGGGCCAAACGACTAAACACGAAAAGCTTACCAGTGCCCTCGAGTCCCGGCGCTATCGAGGCGGTCATCGACGATTCCAGCGGCTCGAAGTACTCTTGCCAGAATCGCTCTTGACCTTGCTTCGCCTCCTTGACCACCGCCGGCTCGTACTTGCCGGCAATCTCCTTCGCCATGATCGACGCCCATTGCCGTAGCGAGTGCACCGGGCCTAAAACGAAAGCGTTTTCAACACCTAATAAAAATGCACTTGGGTTGTCCAGCGACACGGCGATGATGACGACCGTCTTGGATGGCGTGTTGGCAGAGAGCGCGTGGCGGAGCAGCGGGGCGAACTTCTCGTTGCCGGCGAGCACCCAGAGCTGAAACAAATTACAGTAAAAGTTGACAATGAAAAGCGGGAATTTCGACGCGCGTCAGAAAGTTAATTGCGACAATAAAGGCTATCCAAAAATCGGGAAGTTTACACCATTCAAAGCCCTCGAAACGGCGAGAAAATAAGCGCTCTTCGTTCTGCAAAGTTTTTAGCCCGCCTAGATATTAAACGATTTCTTCAAAATGGATCCTGCATAAAACTGCATTTTCATTGATTTTGCTCCGCAAACGTGAATTAAAATGGTTCTATTCAAAAACGAATAGTGCCTGTTTTCTCGACTTGCCGAAAGCTTTCAATAGATGCCCAAATCGTCAAAATCGGACACTTCTGCGACAAGCTAGAGGGGTCCTTTTTTCGGACACCCTGTAGTCCCGCGGAAACGTACCGGTAGCGTTAAATTTTCGGCGGCCCCGAGGGCACCTCCCGCGGTGCCGAGGCTGTAGGCGTAACTGCCGCCCCGCGTATCCGGTTGAACGCTCAAGCAGTGGTATTCGAGGGCCGAACCCTAAAACGAAAAAAAACTCAAAAAAAGCACAAAAATACGGACCTTGTTGGGGTTGTCAACCTTCTCGAGCTTCGAGAGGAGGGATGTCTTGCCGGCAGCGGAGTCGCCTAGAAAAATCAATATTCATCGAAAAACGCCGAGTAAAAATACCGAGCACGATGATGCTGGCGCCCTGCATCGTGTTCCGCGACTTGGCGCTCACCTCCGTCAGTATCTTGATCCTGAAAGACGAAAAATCAAGGGATAGCCGGGAAAAAAGCGTACCATATCTTTTCCTCCTCCGGCTCGGCGTTCCGCGGCGAAGCGGTGGTGTGGTTGAAGTTCAGGTTGAGCGCGTCAACCATGATACGGGCCTAAAAAGAGAAAATTTAGAAGTTTCACGGAATTGTGTGAAGAAAACAGGAGAAAACAGCGGAGCTAAACAAGTTTTGGTACCATGTTGCATGTTCGAGGTTTCCCAGACTCTACCCGAATGTTAAAACCATTAACGGAGCATCGGCACATAAAAAAAAATTGCCTTGCTCTCCCGCTAACACGGAAGTACCGAAAAAGGCATCGAAACCAAGGCCCTAAACTTCGGACAAACAACAGGAGTTTAGGATTCCGGTGAAACCCAGTTTAAACTTATTAGTGCTTTAATTTTCCATAGGAAACAAAAAACCGCTCAAGAACTGGCTCAACGGGCCCTAAGCTAGCCTGCGGCTGGGTTTGGAGATAAGCTCAGGGCTAGGCCCAGTTTAGCGCTTACATAAAACTAAATCTAAACTAAGCATACTAACGATAAAAAGAGCCCAAATATGTCTTCTTATAAGGCTTGGCAAACATTCACAGGGAGAAGTCCGCCAGGTTCTGGCCACGTTGCCGCCAGCTTCTCGCCTGATGGCCGCCACCTGGCGGTCAGTATGCGGAAAGCAGGAGGGCAGGTGGCGAAAAGCTGGCAGAACGGGGATCCCCGGGCTAAGTAATGCTCCTCTTAATGTTGCTTATTATTAATGCTACTGCCGCCAGGGACGTAGCGTAAGGTGGGCCCCCATTTTTTCACGTTTTTACTGGTATTTGTAGAGTTATGTAGCTTTTTGCCCAAAATTTTTCGCCTGCGGCGCTGATTTCTCGTTTTTTTTTGAGTTTTTCGAAAAAATTTTTCGGACCCCCGAAATTTTTTTCTGGCTACGCCCCTGACTGCCGCTACTATGCATTGCAGCCATTTAGAAGCAGCCTGCTTCATGTCGGGGATGCGCTGGAGGTGTCCCTGCCTGAAATATGGCGGTTTTATTTTAATTCGTCGTTTTTTGTATTCAGCTCTACCGTTTATTGCAAACGGTTCCCGTTTGTTCCCGTTTTACTTCATACAGCTACTTACTTTCACACGGGACAGCCGCGCCGCGGCCAACGCGCGAACGGTCCCGGACGGGCCGCGCGCGGCTGGATCGCGCGCCACGCAAGGAATGCGCGGTCAATGCGCGCGCGCTTCTCCGCGACCACGGGCGGCGCTGTGGTCCCGTGAAGCTGGCGGACTTTTCCCAGTGAAAGAAAATCAGGCTGACTACGAATCGCTCCGGGATCCATTTTCTACAGTAGGAAGAACAACGCGGGGCTCCTATGTTCAGTTTTGTCAGTAGGTGCATCGCGTTCTTCGCATTTTTAATTTTCGCCGGGGAAGTTTTTCTTTTCTTTCCTTTTTTGGCCTTTTGGAATCGTATTCGAATGCCCTTGCGCGCACTCTAGAAATAAAAAAAAGTAGTGGTGTACTTTATTTTTTTTTTATTTTCCTTTTTCAATATAAAGGGGAGAGGAGAAGAAAGGGCTTTTTTTTTTTTGGATTGTGAGAAAAAAAAAAAAAAAAAAAAAAAAAAAAAAAAAAATATTTTTTAATTTATATTAAAAATATAAAATTAAAATTTGTTTTATAGGAAAAAATGATTTTGGCCCGGGGCCCGCCCCCTCTTTCTTTTCCCTTTTTTTTTTTCTTTTCTTTTTCCCCCCCCCTTTTTTTTTTTTATTTTTTTTTTTTTTTTTTTATTTTTTTTAATTTTTTAAATTTTTAATTTTAAAATAAAAAATATGAGGGTGGGGGTGAGGGGGGTGTTGGGGTTTGGGGGGGGGGGGGGTGGGGGGGGAATTGGGGGAGGGGGGTTTTGTTTTTTTGGTGGTTGGTGTGGTTGTTGGGGGGGGGGGTGGGGGGAAAGGGGGGGTTTTTTTTGGGGTTTGGGGGGGGGTTTTTAGGGGGGGGGGTTGAAGAAATAAGGAGGGGTTTTTGGTGGGTTTTGGGGGGGGGGGTTTTGGGGGGGGGGGGGGGGAGGAGGGTTGGGGGTTGGTTTTGAAGGGAAAGGGGGGGGGGGGGGGGAGATTTGGGGGGGGGGGGGGGGGGGGGGGGGGGGGGTTCCCGCCGGGTTACGGGCAGAGGGGGTTTAATCCGGTTGGTTGGTGATACGCCAAATATGCGACACCTCAGCTAGGGATACAAATATACTTCTTGGTGCTAATGCAGTTGGGGGGGGCAGTCCAAAATTGGTAGTAAGGGGTTACGAGGAGCTCCGGTTAAGCTACTTGGTTTTCAACTTTAGCCTAGGCTTAAAGGGATAGGGGCGGCATGAGCCAATCGATTACGCGCTGGAAAGACTCTCTCTCTCTGCGCCTCTCCCCTGGGCGCCCCTCTCTCTCTCTCTTTAACTTAGCTTTAACTAAGCCTAGCTTAGGCTTAGGCTTAAGCCCAAGCCCAAGCTAAGCTTATCTTGAGCTTCAAATTCTTACGAGGTCAAAATGGGGTCATTTATGGGTTAGCTTAGAACTAAGCTTAGCTTGGCTCAGGCTTCGTTTGTATGAAGCTAAGCCTAGGCTTAGGCTTAGCTTAGCTTCTCCAGAGGCGTCGAGTTTAAAAAACGGCATTTGGAGCGTCTCGTAGTCAAAATCCAAACTGCCTCCCCCAGTGCATTAGCACCTACTTCTTTTACACTTTATTCGAGTTCTTTCAATCTCCAAATGTTGCAATGTTTAGCCGGGATGACTTTGACGCCTGCCCCGCGTGAAACCACTCGCACCTCACTCATCGCCAGAGCCAGCGTCTCCGAAGGCACCGCAATCCCGGTAAATTGCTGCATTCAGCTCCAATTGCTCCTAGAAACACCGGCCACTGCGCCCTGCATTGCGGGCGTCTTCGGAAAATGGCGGAGTCGACGCAATCAACCCACTGAAGAAGACCGGCAGTGCTCCCAATGTACAACAACAGCAAACGGTTAGCATTCGTTTGAGGTTTTTATCTTTGCTTATAGTCTCTCTACGAATATCAACTTGCGAGCCCTCATCGGGCGATTATCGCCACCCTGTCAGCGCAGAAGAGCACGTTGAAGCACCTAACCGAGGAGATGCGAAATGGAGGGGACGGCACAGAGCTTTTCAAATCTGGGTATTTTATTTATTGTTAGCATGATTACCGTTTTTAGCCGCGTTGCTGCGACAAACCAGCTGATCCAAGTCCTGAATTTGCAGCGCGCTTGGAACTTTGCACGCGCTGTTCCCTTCCTTCTCTCGTTCCGAAGGTGCATGGCCACGAAGGTTCATCAACGACCTTGCATCGAAGCACTCGTTCAAGTAATTCTATGGCGCTGTGTTACATTTTTTTTTGTAGATTATCGATCTGTTCAAGGGGCAACTTACTGTGGAAGCCACTGGAGCTAAGAAGAAATCAATCGAGGTACCGGTAGATCTACGCTTCATCCTCTTATTTTTA